TTTATCTCTCGGTTTTCTCCTCCCGATTACATACACAAAATGGTCATTTCAAAATCATCGATGAATTTAGTTTCTAAAATCACCATTGCTTTCCTCTCATCACCACGAGTTCAATGGTGGTCTCTGTTTCCTGAAATTCGAACAACGGATGTCGTTTCATGGAGCTCCGTAGCGAGGCATTTTTCCCAGGGAGATTCCTATCAAATCTGACTGAGGTAAGACCTAAATCTATTGTCTTAGTATTCGTCTTGTCGAGTAAATGAATTTTCACATATAGATTGCATGATTTGGTTGAGATTTAAGCGAGAACAAAGCTAGGATTTAATATTCTTTGTATTCGTCTTTGAACTTTCCTGCAAAGATGTCAAAATCTCGCTGTTTTTTGGGGAGTCGGGGCGTCTTTGGCTGGTTAGGTCAGGTTGGGTCAACACGTTGACTTAATTCAGTCAGCGTTGACCAATCAACAAGTATTGCAATGTGTTAGGGCATTCTGATGTGTTGATTCCATATCATTTCTCTGTTTCTCAAAATTTGATCGTTTGAACATAGTTTCATAATTTACCATCACTTGAATTTGTAGTAGGCAAAGATCTGACCGTTGAATCGTTATGAAATTATAATATGCTATTGTACAAGTAATTTGTTGACTTCGGAAACTTATAGATCAAAAATTCGATGTGCAAATCTTCTGGAACAAAAATAATTAAGGTGGTTGACTTTAGCAAAAACCACTTGATTTAGGGTTAACTTATAGTCAACATGTCCCAAATAATTCTCAAATATTGAAGTTAGCATCCCTAGAGGCAGGTAGAGCCTAGTGGGCAAAATCTGTGTCCATCGTCACTTTATTTCAGTGTTCCAAAATCAGCCTAGGCCGGCACCTAAGTTATGAAGTGCCACCCTTATTAGGCGGGATTAGGCTGAGTAGACGGAGAAATTCGGGTTTATGAAGAGGATAAAATCTGAAGAAAAAAAAAGAGTTGCAGAGCAGCAACAACTATGCGAAAAAAGATGATGCTATACGGCGTCATTTATGTTTCTATTGATTTTTTTTATTTGTTTATCCTTTTTTCTCTCTAAAGTTCTAAGCTGACTCCACCACTTCCTGCTAACATTCACCTCTTTCATTTTTATTATTTCATTTTTTGTTCTTACTCCACCATCCTGTTTGCAGAGTCCTTGTATCTCGCTATATTTAAGGGACTCGGCTTCTCTGCCCTCCCAGTTCCCATACACTCTCATCCTCTCCTATTTTGTACGGTCACAGTTAAGTCACATCAACATTTTATATTGATTTTTTTATAGGGATAATAAGACAAAAAGCAATAGTGATATAAAATGTTGACGTGGCTTAACCGTAACCGCACAAATAGGAAGGGATGAAAGTGTATGAGAACTGGGAGGGCAGAGAAGCCAGGTCCATATTTAAGACCTCACCATATTCTATTATCCTTCTTTCTTTTTCTATTTTAAGACCCACTTTGTCCCACATAAGTATTAACTTAAAACTCTCACATTACATATATGTTCTTCTTCTTAAAAATATCATATATTTAATTAATTTATATGATATATAATAAATTTACTTAAATCCACATAATCCGCTTAGGTCTTCGCCTAGACGCCTAGGCGCTAGGCCTCTTCTTTATTTTATGGTGAGGTAAAACATTCATTTCTACTAAGTATGGATATCCAAACATTTACGTAAAGTATGTTGAATTTCTCGTATTAAAGATGAACTACGATTGACTTGATCCTTTTACAGTGTACGTAGGTATTCTAACCTGAAAGTTGATGCAGCCATAAGATTAAATAAAAGTAAATATTGTATCTGTCACATCCCGAGCCGGACCCTCACCACATCTCAGGCTCGACTCCGCCGTAGCACGATATTGTCCACTTTGGGCCCTGATCATGCCCTCACGGTTTTATTTCTAGGAACTCACACGAGAACTTCTCAATGAGTCACCCATCATAGGATTGCTCTCGCGCGAACTCGCTTAACTTCAGAGTTCCAAAGGAACCCGAAGCTAGTGAGCTCCCAAAAGGCATCGTGCTAGGTAGAGATGGGAATATACATATTACATGATCCATTCCCTTATGTGATGTGGGATGTTACAATCCATCCCCTTAGGGGCTAGACGTTTTCGTCGGCACACTTTCGATCAGGGATTGGTTCTAATACCAAATTGTCACATCCCGGCCCGGGCCCCCATCACATCTCGGGCTCGACTCCGCCGTAGCACGATATTATCTGTTTTGGGCCCCAACCACACATTCACAGTTTTGTTTCTAGGAACTCACACGAGAACTTCCCAGTAGGTCACCCATCCTGGGGAACTCACTTAACTTTGGAGTTCCGATGGAACCCGAAGCCAGTGAGCTCCCAAAAGGCCTTGTGCTAATTGGAGGTGGACATATACATTTAAGGCTTACAAGATTCATTCCCCTGAGCGATGTGGGATGTTATAGTATCATGTCTCGGAGTCTGAGATAGAACATCGTTGGGACAGACTCACACAGACTTATTGTTTTTCTGCTTTTTAGATAATTTTGTGGGCTTGTGTGTCTGAGCTTGGTTTTGGGTTTATTGTAAAGAAAAGAAAACTCTGTTAAAATTGAGACTTTCCATTGACTCATGCATTTCATGTTTTATAATTGGCATGGGAGTTGAAGTTAAATTGTAAGGTGTCAGATAGTCTATAAAGAGTTTCACTTTAAGAGTCTCCTTAGCATTTTTTTTATATGCAGAAATTCTCTCTTGCACATGTTTTTTTCAAGAATTGACGATTGTATTTACTAAAAAAAAAAAGTTGATTGGATGGTTTTTTATGAAGAATTTGTTTTGTGAGATTATTAAAAAGTTGAGGGTCTGTTTGGTACTTTACTTGAATCCAACTTTTTAAACTCAAAAACAATTTTCAAGTTTTAAGCTTTAAAAACTTGTTTGGTAGAACTATTTAAAAAAACTGAACTTAAAACTAACTAAAAAATATAGTCTATTATCTAAAAACACAAAAAGTGAGTTTTTAGAGTTTTTAAACTTAAACTCACTTTTTTTTTCTCTCCCTCCTCCCCTCTCAGTCCAAATCTATCTCTATTTTCTTCTTTCTCTCTCCCCCTTCTCTTATTTTTACCTTTTTCGTCTCTCCTCCAATCTGCTCTCTTCATTCTCTCGGTTATTTCTCTCACTCCTCTTCCTCTCTATCTCCTCCGCTCCTCTCTCTTCTTCTCTTTCATCCAATCATCTCTTACTCTATTTCCTCCTCTCTCCTATTTCGCCCTCGACCCCCTTTTTTTGGATCTCTTTGTTCAGTTTGAGTTGTAAGATTTAAAATTTTTAAATCGCATACCAAACAAGTTTTTGAGTCAAGAAAATTGTTTTCGAGAAAAGTTCTTAAGAAATGTTTTGAGAAATGATAAAAATTTTCAAATAAGATACCAAACAAGCCCTGAGTGTTTCATGTCCAGTTTTTTAAATAATTTGTTTGTGAGATATTTTTTTATTAAAGCGAAATACTTTTTGTAGTAGAATGTGATGGGAAAAAAAAACAAAAAAGGGTAAATAATTTTTTAAAAAATATTTATATTACAAATGGTGCCTGAAATTGATTCACACTATTAAGATGATCTCTGAAATTGAAAATCGATTAATGTAGTCCCTGAAAATAGGTGTCGCAAATCAATTTGGTCATTTTCGTCACAATTCTGTCAAAAATTATGTTATATGTAAATGTGGCACATAAATTAGTCTCACAAAATTTACAAGCTTTATCACAAATGGTCCTTGAGTCCTTAAAATAGATGTCACAATCAATATTGTCCTTCCATCACAATTCTGTCAAAAACTTTGTTATGTGGTGATGTGAGTTTAATAATTTAATAATTAATTAAAAATGTTGTCATAACACCTTTTTGCACAATGGGATTATCTCAAGGCAGAACTCACCGTTCTCCATGTCACTAAGATCACCAGTGTACATGCTCTCTAAGATTAAGGTTGTGTAGATGTTGATAGCTAAATATTAACAGTGATGTCACGTAAGTTGTCGTCAATCCAAGCCATCACAAGGTGGTCTCCATTCTGGCCCAGTTCGGTGGAGGATGTAAAGATGGGTGCCTGGAGAATTTTTTTTTTTTTTTTTTTTTTGCCCAGAGAAAAGACAGCGAATGCTACCATAGATGGAGGTAGAGGGGTGTGGGTTGGGATCAGAGGTGATTGCGAGACTCGGTTTATAGGTAGACAACTTTTTTAATTAATTATTAAATTATTTCTAATTTATTTTTAATTTAATTAGACTTATAGGATCCATTCATGTGTCACATCAGCACATAATATAATTTTGACAAAATTGTGGTATGAAAACCACATTGATTTGAGACACCTATTTTTAATACTACATTGATCAATTTTTAATTTCAATGACCATCTTGATGGTGTGGGCCAATTTCAAGGACCATCTTGATGATGTGGATCAATTTCAAGAATCATTTTGATGGTGTGGGTCAATTTCATGAACTATTTGTGATAAAACCACTTATGGGGCCTATTTATGTGCCACATCAACAAATAATAGAATTATGACGGAATTACCACATTGCTTTGCGATATTATTTTTTGGAATTACATTTATTGATTTTCAATTCCATGGACCATCTTGATAGTATGGGTCAACTTTAAAGACCACTTGTGATAAAACCCTTAAAAAAACAAGGTAGAAGATCATGTTTAGATAGAAACACACACACACACACACACATATAGGAATCCTTTAATAAGAAGAATCCCTATTTTTCTAAAAAAAAATAGGGACATCCTCTTGACCGTTGGATTTGACTTTAATGAAATTAAGTGATTGATATTGTGTGGCTTGTGATTTATTCTTAACCACACAATTTCATTAAAGTCAATCCAACGGTCAAGGGGGTGACCCTATTTTTTTTTTTTTTTTTAATGAGGACCCTCTTGTTATATATATATAAAGAACATGCAGCACTGATTAAAGGTAAAATACACTCTAGATTCATATATGAAAGCTAAATACTACACACCAGCCAAACATATGAGAAATTAGTAAAAGGCAAATCAACAAAGAAATCAAATGATGCAAAACCAAATGAATTGTAAGGAAATGAAATCCCATAGAGCACTTGAGAGATGATCGGCGCGCCCTAAACCTGCTACCCTCCGCGACGCTCCTGTGGACCGTTAAATTGAAAAATGGATAAAACGGTCTGGATTACTGTGAGTAATAAGGCTTTCAAAACAGCTGAGGCAGACATAAAAGACCAAGGGCTTCTAAAATACTTCAACATAAAACCTGCCCATCGCACGTTCCAAACATTATCGCAGTGCTCGTTCACATCCTTGAATACCTGCTGTAAGTAACTCCCAATGACGCCGAAACCAACATCTTTGCTCATATTGTTGAAGAATTGAGTGAGCTCCTCGTCGGATCCAAGATAATTCTCGATGATGTTCTTCTCAGAGAGGTAGGTTGCATCCGCAGGCCTGCAGATGAGGCAGTTCATGAATGCAGCATAAGTGATTATGTGCTTGTCGCAATCGATATAACATTGTTCGAATGCAACGAAATTCAGGAGTACGTGGATACTGTAATCGTCTACTATTACGTGCGGAATTTCTAGCACTCCATTGCAGAATCTGATACATAGGAAGTTGGTTGCCTTGCTTTTCTTCAACTTAATTCCCGCTTGATGAAGCTTTTTCACTGTTCCGATCAATTCAACTGACTGAGAAGGATTTTCTCGAGGAGGATCACGAATACCGGTGGTAAAAATTGAGTGAAATAAATCGAGTAGATGTACTCCGCCTACATAGAAATATCGCTCCAAGACCTTGTCCGATCTTTGTTGCACTACGTAGTTAAAGAATTTTAAAGCAGCCTTGCCAAGGGGCGGACACGGATAAGTATCCTCTCTTGAAGGTTTCGACATATCAAATAACTGTTGAAGAACGAAAAAAGGAATTTGGTTTTCTAGCCGAAGAAAGTCTAGCCTGAGTTGAGGCCAGTGGCGGATCCACAGTGGGGTCATTGGGGTCGCACGACCCCTTGGAAGCCATGGAAGCAACCTTAGAGACCCCTTGGAGATGGTGGGACGACCCCTGGTGCGACCCCGTTGGTTTTCTGGGCAGGTTGGACGAAGAGGACGAAGAAGGCGAAGGCGTTGTGGCGCCAGTTTGATTTTTAAAAAAACCTGGGCAAAACGACGTCGTTTTGGCCCAGGAATTTTTTTTAAATGACCTGGCCAAAACGACGTCGTTTTGGGCCAGGTTTAAACAAAAAAAAAATGCCCAGCGTGTCCTGGGCAGGTCTGAACAAAAAAATAAATACCAAGCGTGTCCTTTCAGCCTTATTTTGCACAGAGACAGAGCCTAACCCGAATCCAAAACCCCCAAATTTCTTTTGTTTTCTCCTCCTCCAACCCTAAGTTCCAAACTCAATCCCCCCCCTCCAAACCCTCAACTCCATCTCCTCCCAGCTTTGCTCTTTGTATTTGCTCATTGTTATTGTGAAATTTCACAATCCAAGTAAGTTCTAAACCCTATGTATGATATATTTAATTTAATTGAAATCCAATTCATATTTATTTTGATTATGTTGATGGTTTGTTTATATTGTGAGTATTTATTTTGAATATTTTGTATATGTAGAATATATTTAATTTAATTGAAATTCAATTCATATTTATTTTGATTATATTGATGATTTGTTTATATTGTGAGTTTTTTCATTTTAACACCAATTATTTTGTTAAAAATTATTAAAAAAATTTATTATTGTTCCATGCACAGATTAATTCAACACTGCACCAAACGCCCGACTAATGGAGTTAGTACTATCCGACGACTATTTATCTTATCCAACTGAAATAGTTAGTACAGTCCGAAGTACCAAACGAGGCTAAAAAAAATTTTCGCGCTGCGCGCGCTATGACCCCACAAGCATTATTTCCTGCCTCCGCCACTGTGAGGCAATATCCATTCCGAGCTAAAGATGGTGTCATCCAAGTTTTCTTCAAAATATTCAAATCTGGAGAAGACTTCGATAATGAAGAGACCATCTAGTACCATCATCTCAACGAGCTCGATTTTGCTCAAGCAGGTGAGGGTCTCAGAATAGCACTCTCGTATCTTTTCCTCATCCAAAGCTACAACCTGCAAGTAATCAGCGAGTTTGGGGCCAGTTGATGGTGTTCGAACAAGTAAGTCGCGAAGATATCTCCATTTGTGTTGCTGCATCATCTCCAGATGTTGGCAACCGCGGTGATATGGGCCGATGGAGACTATATGCGGGTGGTAGTGCTTGCTGTTGACTTCGACCAACAATTGAGGTACTTTGAAGATGCAGCAGGATTCCCTACCAGCTGATGGGCGGAGTAGCCAATCTGTTTTATCGACTGACTCAAGACGTTCCACCATTGACGACATCAGCTGAGTTATATTAACATCGTCTGGCAATGCAATTTGACTGACCACATCCGGATCATCTCTTCCTCCATTGTTGTCTGATGGGAAACTTGATGTTGAAGGTGAGGTCATTGTAGGCTCACAAATTTTTGGATTTATTATTCTCTCTTGTCTCTTTGATAAATAAGGGATTTCAAAGTTGTAAAAGCAGCAGCATGGATGGATTTATGTGGAAGCTTCCTTATATTTTCATAAAGACAAAGCAAAAAACGAAGTACAGATGAGATGGTTTTGTGCCTCTGCCCTCTGTCACGGGTGACATACCACTGTGATTTCCAAATTTATGGGTACTGTGACATCTTTGTATAGTTGAAGCTGCTAAGTATTGGATTGCATCTGTTTTTTTAAAAGAAGACAGTTACTTGTAACAGAAAAAGTGGTGAATCGAGAAAGTTGTAAGGAATGGATATGTGATCGGTTGATCTTCTTAATGAGTCGAATTCTTGATTTTCAGGTATTAAGTTACGGATTGTAATACGAGACTCACATAATTTTTTTTATTCAAAAATATGTTAGTAAACGAGAAAAAAGTCATGAACCGGAACAATCTAATACTCGTTCCAGGTCAGTAAACATAACATAATTTCAAATAAATTTCTATCAGACTTGAAGATAAACGAAGAAGCAATCGTCTCAAGGGTTTGCCTCTTCCCAACTAAAAGGCAACACTGCACGGAAATTCTTTTTGTTTTAACTTTCACTTTCTTTTTATTTTTTTTTTGTCAAACGGTGGATTTTGTTAGATTAGCCACCGACAGAATTTGAACCCACGCGGTTATACAATGACTCATCATTTTTCCACCACTATGGTAAAGAGCCACATTATTTGATTCTATATTCTCTTTTTTCATTTTTCTTTTTTCTTTTTCTTTGTTTGTTAAACCCTGTACGATTTTGGAAGATTTAAGAGGGATTTCCTATTTTATTGGGGGAATTAATCGAAAAATAACAGTGACAGTGTTCGAACTGCATGCATGACAAGCCAAGTGGTTATGAAACGGGTTATTAATTATTCAAAATCACAATAAAGCATGAATTTGTCACAAATAAGTAATAAACTGTTACAAATGGCTAAAGACGGCGAAGACCTAACGTTACAGCTTCCTAGTATTGACATTAGAGGACGTTAACCCGTGGCTAAGATAGCATTCACTCCTTCAGACTTAGCCTTGCACTTTGAACCTTCACCGAAAGCTTCGACTTCTGCTCTTCCATATCTCGTAGAACAGCAAGCAGATTTGCACGATAAACTTCACAGCGTTTGTTGGTGTCCTCCAACTCAGCAGACAATTCGCGGATTTTCTTTTCCTTCTCATCCTGATGAAAATAATGTGTATGGATGAAAATAATAAGTAAACAGAAATAACGGCGTAGTATTTCACAATCATACTGAAAACACAACCGCAAATTATGTCATGCACGGATTCTAAATATCATAATTCAAATCTGGTCCTCTCTGGTTACAGTCGTGAAATTGACTTTATGAATTACTGTGTTTGTAAGTTTGTAAACAGGGAACACCTAAAGATGCATTATTTCTTGGTTTGTACAGTTCAACAGCTACATGTGCCTAAGCTACTGAAGAAGCAAATAATTCAGAGAATATATCCACAATTTCCAGATTCATGAGAGGCAACACAAGACATTGCACTTCTCAATAATTCTATTCCATGTTCAGAAACTTCCCAAATGACCACAGTGTGTGTGAGAGGAAAGGAAGATATTCTCGTCAACAAGAATTATAACCAGAACAACACCACCACCAACAACAACGATATATATCAATATTAAATAGAACAGATCAGGTTGTGAAGTAGGAGAACTCACCGTGGATTGATACCCTGCCATTTCATTCGCTTCAGTCGCAGGAATTTCTTGGCTACCTCCATTGGCAAGGGAACTACCCTGTGTAGCTCCAGAACCTTTATTCTTCATAGCAGCAACTTTCTTAGCAGCTTCCTGTAGAGCATTCATCGCTACATTGTATATGTGGATAGACCTTGCTCCCTCTTCTACATATTTGATTGCTTCCTGACGTAGATTGTTATACCTAACTGTTACAGACTCTCGAGAATTGCTTGGCGATTCAGAAGCACGTTCATCCAGCATAGATCCGCCAGCTCCACTCTTGGCATTTCTTGTCCATCGTTTCAATACATATTGAGGAGGAAGTGTGAGAACATTCTTTGCTCTAAAAACTGCCAGTATGTGCCTACAGATTATCCCTGAATATTCAAACATTTGACAACTACAACTAGCTTTCATCTCAAAGGAATTGAAACTAACAGCATGAGCTTTGTGGTCTTCTCCAAATTTGGCCACTCGATAGGTGGCAACAGTTCCTGAGTCATCAATTTTGGTTGCAGGATTTGCCATGGTCTCAACCAACTCCTCCTGGAACTTCTTAAATATTCTCCTTGTATAGAGGTTTGCAGCTTGTTTTTCCATAGGAGACGGTGTCTTCAGAACTGGCATAGTATTAGTAGTGTCATAATCTGCTTTTAATTCCATTTCATGCCAACTAACTAAAGCTTTCTCGTACTGCTTAATCAAAACCTGCATGGTAGTGGATGCATTCACATACCCATCAAAAAACAAGGCTAACCTTTCACTTCCCTCACTTACAGCAAACTCTCCAAAAAAGGTGTCCTTCATGTAAACCGGGACCCACTGTTGCCTAGCATTGTACATGGATTGAAGCCACTCATTATCCATGATGTAGTATCTTCCGAGCAATGACTGCCAACGTGACTCAAACTCATCAATTGTCTCACTCTCATTGACACACTTCTTAAACTCGGTTTCGAAAGTAGGATGAGAATGATACAGCTGATCCAACTTCTCTTGTGTTTGTTTAAATATGGCCCACTTACAGAAGCGATGGCGGGTTTCAGGAAGAATTTGCGCAACTGCAACTTGCATGTGCCTATCTGGATCAGTAGTGATAGAGACAGGGAAGCGTCCAGCCATTGCATGAAGCCAAGTTTGAAATAGCCATACGAAGGAGGACTCAGACTCATTAATAACTAACGCACAGCCAAACAACACCGGCTGGCCATGATGATTAAATCCGGAGAATGAGGCAAACGGTACCCTGTAGCGGTTTATCCTATACGAAGTGTCAAATATAACAGCATCTCCAAAATATGTATAGTTCATCCTGGCTGTTGCGTCCACCCAAAATATATTACCATTAGAGTGATCACTATCACTCTGAACGGCATAAAAGAAAGCAGGATTGTCTGCCTGCATTCTTTTTAGATAGTCCAGAACATGCTGACCCCCACCCCCAAGGGTCCTCTGTCTGATGCCACTCATGTAGCTTCTCAAATTAACTGTACCCCATGAGGGAAAAAAAATGTCAGAAATGGTTCCACCAAAGGCCATTGTTAAACATGGAAGGTAACTCACACAAGCCAAGGTTCAAAACCTCAAACTGAAACTAAAGCATGGTATCAAACAACATCAGTGCATTTTCGCTAAAATTAAATGCTAAGCATCGTATATGCGATCATCATGACCAGGCTCATCCCGACATTGTGAAAGTGTTCCATCCCTAATAAATTCTTACATGAAAGTCTTTAGCTTTATTTACTAGAACAATGCCATGATTCCGCTATTATTTATATTGCGTGTAAAAAGGCCTTATTGGCCTGAAAATTATTCGAAACTTTAACACATGGTTATAAGAAGGGAATTGTTCAATCAGAAAAACTTCAACACACTCCAAACAGTCCAAAACTTTGAAATTGTCTTCAACCAACACCATTAACATTGCAGTTTACTACAACAGGAAAAGTAAAATCTTTACCAGTTAACACCAACCCACAAACTACTTCACAGAGAGAGAGAGAGAGAAGAAACTGTAAATTTGGTGAAAATAGGCAATTGGGTAGTGAAAAAGAAAGATGCTTTAGCATTTAGGAAGCTGAAAGCCTGCAACTAATTGGGTGCCCACACCCACACTTATCAATTTACACATGAATTTGGATTTTGAATCAGTTGGGCTCAAAATAAATTGAAGAGAAATCCGGAAGACGATGAACAAATTGAGGCAAAATTATATGTACTGGGGAATTGAGACTCACCCAAAACGGCAATCGAGCTCTGCTGCACGGAATAGTGGGTCTTCGTCAAAATCAAAGGCAAGTCCCGATCGCCGTCGTCCTCTGGCGATTGTGTTTCTTAAGCGTTGAGAGTTGAGAGTGATAGAGAGGCCCGCCTAGGCGCTGCTTAAAGCTCCATTTTTAGTGAATACTGATATCTTTAAGTGGAATTTTATTTTTCATGGAATTTTTTTATTGGATTTTTTTTTTTTAATTAAAGAGAGGAGTCTCTAATACAGTCATTTCCAGTACGATCAAATAAAAAATAACTTCGATCAATAACGGGGTAAAGACCTCTTCCAAATATAATGTCCAAAGCATCGAATAGCCAATATTAATAATTACATCACTTAGTATTACGTTTTAATAATACTATTTTTTATTATAAAATAAATTATAAGTCCGACTATCTTTATATATATATATATATATATATATATATTAAAGACTTTTACCCATTTTCTCAATATAAAGCTCATTTAGCCTCCATGAGTAACCATAGTAGTTAGTTGTGTTAATTGAGGTGGTGATGGTGGTGGTGGTGATGATGGTGGAGTATTCATGAGTATCCATTGGAGAGAGGATTCTTGCTCAATCCTCTTTGTGAGAATCTCGGGAATTCTCCAATCACATTCGTTCATCGTATATCGTACAACAATTTCTCGTCAGGAATTATTTATATTCAATTTTAAATAAAAAAATTATAATAATTTCTAACTGCCTAATGTGCAATAAACGAATGTAATTTAAAGATTTACAAAATTTTCACAAAAAAGATCCGACGAGAACCATCCATTGCCCCATCTTGGGGCTGAACTTGTCCACGCGGCACGACCTAAACTGTACCACCACGGGTGGAGCCATAGGTGGGCTCGGGTTACACACTAGACCACGATTTGTTATTTTCTTGCAGGGTAAAGTAAGGTAATTTGTATTAAAACCGGGAAGGTTATGCCGAATTCCCAATAGAAATTTGTGTTTTTCTTTTCTTTCTTGTTTAAAGAATTAACCTGTAATATTTTGTCTCTCGAGTCATCATGCATAAAATAACTTCGTCACCTTTTAGGTGTGTCAAACCTTCTTCATCCGACATCACTCGTGTCAACGTGACAACTTTTTAGTAACTTACCCCACTTGCCCGACCAAATAACGCCTTTACCAAAAGTTCTCCCATCGAACATTGTTCGAACCCCCTCGAGGCTCCTCCAACAATGCTCGAACTCGGTTGGAGTAACACTTGGTTGTTTTTAGGATGGAAGAACATAACATTCCATCCTCACTTTCCCAGCCACCCGAACTCAAGCTTTCAGTTTCGGTGTCATACTGCACCGTACTGCTCTCAATGCGAAAGAAAGGTGATAGCTGACAATCGGCACAATACCAAATAATCAGCAAACTCCAAATAAGCTTAACGAACGAAACTGTATACACATGTAAATCACTACCGAAGCAAAACGGGACAGCAAAAGCCTAAAGATCCAAGCACGAATAGTAAACAAACTGTTTGTACAGATATACTCCAATGAAAATGTATTAACCTTTCTAACAGAAACTGCGGTCAATGGATTCTGTTCACAGCCAATTTGCAAGGATGAGTAGAAGATGACTTGTCAACTCAAGGATGAATTTCCCTACAAGCTTATATGAAAACTTAAAATTGAAGGTGTTATTCGACGGCACAGAAAATAACATGTTATTATTACCTTCGACTGCAACCAATAGACAAATGAGAGAGTATATATACACACACACAATGAAAAAAAAGCTACCAAAGCATTTCCATACCCTGATGAACCTTTCAGCTCTGATATCTGTCTTCTTGTGCAACCCTTCATACAACGATTTTTTCCTCCTACAAAGTTACCGTTGCTGACTTGTAGATCACAGGAATCACAACCCATAAAATGTCAGAAACAATATAAATCGGTTTAAAATAACATAACTATTAACTGATAATGAAAAGAAAACAAGTCTAATGAATCTGCCAATATAAGATTTACATGTGAGGTATCAAGCCTGTCACGAGTCAAATCCACAGCCAAGATCCATAATCTACAATATGGACCCTGCCAATTTCCCACATAAGTGGAGCTTATTTTCCAATTGATCTTATGTCAGACGCAAGGACAACTACCTGCATAGAGTTCGGATCCTACAACTATAAATTCATAGCATATGCATCTACAAAATTTGTGGAAACATAGCACAACTTTCACAGACTTCCAATTTCCACAGCATCCATAAGTGAAGGAACAGCCTTATCCACATTGTGAAAGTACACTGACTAAAAAACAATCAAAATAAAAGATAAGTACATGAGACTATATTGCACCTTTATAGGATTAGGCCGTCTTTCATGCCAATTTTAATGTTTTGTACTTTAATTGACAACTGTAACTTATGATCCTCTATATCTTTCAAAACTGAACGCAGGTTAGCCCGGTAAACTTCACATTTCCGCTTTGCGCACTCCAGCTCGTTCGTAAGTTCTCGGATTTTTTTGTCCATGTCATCCTGCACAATAACATCCATTAGAACAAAGTTACAGCAGGCTTGAACAGATCACATATGCAAACAGTCCAAATAGCATTCCATTAGTCAAATTATGAGGCAAACATCAGCAAAGAAAGACTCTGTCAACGCAGAACACTCCATCAAAGGTATAAATATAAGGCTAAGGCCTTAATAAAAGTAATCAACAACAACAACAAAGCCTTTTCCCACTAAGTGGGGTCGGCTAGCCTTAATAAAAGTAATCAAATAAAGAAAATCGGGAAATGGTTCTGACCTCAGACAAATGTTGTCCAGAGCTTCCTTCATGATCCCCACTAGCACAACGTGCTGCCCGACTTGCTCCACCAGCCAAACTCCCCCTGACATGCCCATTGAGCATGGCTTTCCCCTCATTCTTTATGGCATGAGCTACTTTTTTTGCAGCTTCCTTCAAAGCTTCCACTGCGATGTCATAAGTTTCTGAAGACCTTGCTCCATCTACAAATTTAAAAGCCTCATGACGTAGGGTATTGTACCGCACAGTATGAGATTCTAGATAATTGGTATATACATCACTAGAACGTTCTTCTAACATGACGTTGCTCTTGGCATTTCTAGTCCATCGTTTCAATATGTAATGGGATGGGAGCGTCAGCACATTGGTCACTCTAAAGACTGCCAATACATGTCTGCAAAGAAGACCAGAAAACTCAAACATCTGGCAACTACAAGTTGCCATCATCTCCAAAACATTGAGCTTAACATAATATGCTTTATGGTCTTCCCCAAACTTTGCTACTTGATATGTGATGATCTCCCCATCATCATCACCCTTAGATGCCGTGAAAGTTAGTGTTCCAACTAGCTCCTCTTGAAACCTCATAAATATCTTTTTTGTGTAAAGCTCAGATACTTGCTTTTCCATTGGAGATGGGGTTTTCAAAACCGGGGCAGTGTTCATAGTTTCAAAGTCTGCTTTCACTTCCTTCTCATTTCGACTCTCTAGAGCTTTCTCATAAAGCTTAAAGAATTGGCTCAAATTTGTTGAAGCATTCACATATCCATCAAAATATGAGTTCATACTGTCACTTCTTTGGGTAATGGACATTTCTGCAAAAAAAGTGTCCCGCAGATAAACAGGGACCCACTGCCTGCGAGCAGAGTATACCATTTGAATCCATTCATGATCTCTGAGACTGTATTTATCAACAAGAGACAACCAGTAAGACTCAAATTCTTCTATGGACTCAGTCAAATTAACACACTTGTGAAAGTCTGCTTCAAAAGTTGGATGTTTAAGAAACACATGGGATAGCTTCTCCTGGCATTTCTTAAAGACGTGCCATTTGCAGAAACGGTGCCGGGTCTGTGGGAAAACCTGCTTGATGGCTGACTGTATCACGGGATCATGATCAGTGGTAATTGACACTGGGGGGCAGCCTGACATTGCCATAAGCCATGTTTTGAACAGCCAAACGAATGATGCTTCAGATTCATTTATCAGAAAGGCACAACCAAACAAAACAGGCTGTCCGTGATGGTTCACCCCTGTGAAAGGTGCAAAGGGCAAGCGGTACCTGTTAGACCTGTAGGTAGTGTCAAAAGTAACAGTATCACCAAAGTAACTATAGTTGATCCTTGCCTTTGGATCAGCCCAAATGACATTTCCCATGGACTTATCGTCATCGCCCCGCACGGCATAGAAAAAGTTCTGGTTATCAGCTTGCATTTGTCTCAAGTAATCCAAAAGCATCTGAATGTCCCCATCTAAGCTCTTCTGGCGATTATTCCTCATGTAATTCCTACAGTCTACCTCTGTAAATCCGACTTTGCTTATCCCACCATATTCCTTAATCAGCGCTGACATAATCCTCCTGGGGCCCATTCCAGCAGCCTGCAAGGTATCAATCAAAGTCTTAGCAGGACCGGATATTTGCCTGTGAGAACGAAGACAATGCACCTGATCAGGCGGAACCAACTCATGATTATGCTCCTTAACAAAACCAGACACCACCCATCTTCCCGAATCTTGCATCTTCACAGAAAAGGATGCTTTGCACCCTACTCTAGTGATAGTCCGAGGGCGCTTGATCTCCCTATCCTTGGTGCGCTTCTCATTCAAATTCCGGAAACCCTCTTTAGCACAAACAAACTGCCTCTGTATGATTGCTCCATCGCGCCTGGAACGACGTGAGGAACTGACACGAGTACTGAACCCAACACGCCGCGCATACGAATTGTAAAAGGCCTTGGCAGCCTCTTCAGACTCAAATTCCATGCCATCATATGGCTCAAGGTCCAAGAGATCCCCCTCAGGCAAGTAAATTTCACCACCACCGAAAACAATACCACTGCCACTGCCAGTGGCACTTCCCATAAGAGGACTATCAACCATTTCCTCATCATCAACAGGATGCTCAATGTCTACAAAATCATCGTCCCCATCTCGGCCTCCCCCTCCTCCCAACCCAATATCAAATTCAATCACCTCGTTATCCATGTCAAAGTTTCAAACTGTTTCAGATCAATTCCAATAGAATTATCTCAAGCCCCCAACCTCACACTGACAGTGCTGTATTCTGTGCAATTATAAAATGGGTATTATGTACGTAAATATAAATACGCATAAATAGAATCACTGATACATAAATAGGTTCAAATCAGTCTCAGTTCCTCTACAATTTTAGCGGGAAAAAAAATGAAATTTCAAAGTAAATTCTAACAAAAATGCAAAAATCTATGGAAAAAAAGAAGAAGAAAAAAACTGACCCTGAAAGAGTGAGACTTTCACATAGTCGTGTACTGCTGAGAAAGTGAGCTCTGGTGGATCTTCAGCAATATTCAACCTTTAGCTCTAGCCAATGGAGTGAGAGACAAAAATGGCAAGTTTTAATTAGGGTTTTCAGAATGGCAGAGAAACCCTAGAATCCGGTTCAAATTTGAGTGGAATTGGGGATTGGGTTTAGGGTTTTGGATTCAAATCGATTGAATTGAAGGAAAATTTGGGAAAAAATGATTAAAAAATTGGGAGAGATGGTGAAGGCGAAAGAGGGACGGGAGCTTGAGATGGGTGGGTAGGCTGTTCGTATACTATTCTTACCCAGTTCCTGGGGTTTCGATCAACTAGGTCATCCGTCAGTTGCGTGAACGCTTATGGACCGTTAAGATTATTTGATGATCATTACAATATTTTTAGAAATTTCTATATACACGTGCAGTTGGAATTTTTTCTAAATTTTAAAAGAATAGTGTTATTCACACATCTTTTCTTACCGTCCATACACTTCTATTAATTTTTATCTGTTAACCGCCTTCAATTGATTTGATTTGACGACTAGAAATTGAGAGGGTGTATGTGGATAACACCATCTTTTGAAAATCGTTTTATTTCTATTTTACATCTCAATTACATATTTTTTAGGGTTAATCTGAGTTTACTATCTTGAAGTTTCTTGGTTTTCAATATTTGATACATCAAGTTTTTTTCGTCCCAGAGTGGTACCTGAAGTCATAATTTTGGGACAGTTTCATACATCCGTTAAGGTTGCTGTTAAATCAGTCATTAAATGGTGACGTGGCTCCCACGTGAACAATGATTAGGCGCCATATGTCAATACGGACCCACATGAATATTAAAAAAATTAAAAAATTAAAAAACCCATCATTCTCCTACCTCACACCCCCCAATCCCACCCAACACTCCCTCATTTCTCTCCTCTGCGCCCACCCAACTCTCCATCCATTCTTTCTCTACTGCCAAGGCCGAGGTCCATCCCATTGCCCAACTCTCCATACACATCCAACGGTGGGAAATTTAGATCGAATGGCAGCGAGGCTTTGTGAAACGACGATGACGTGACGAAATCCCCATCGTCTACTACCACTGATGAAGACGAATCACAATTGTTATGGCAGTCCTCAGGAACCACCGACGACGTCTTCGGTTGTCGTTTCCGCCTCGACAAATCAATAGCCTTTCACGATGAAGGGGGTTCTCACTCCACTATCTGCATTAGGTGGCAATAGGGAGGGCTAGGGAGGGGTTTAGGGCGTTAGCTCCAATCCAGCAACACACTTGACATCTCTAGATTTGGAAACACACTACACATTCACGATTCGGCCTTGGAAGATAGAGAGAAAAAACTAAGATAGAGGAGAGAGAAATATAGAAAGTTCAAATCTGAGGGAGCTAATTAGGTTGTCGAGTCGGCAGAAGGTGAATCGACTTCAGCTGTTGAGAGAGAATGGATGAAGGGTTGGGTGGGCTAGAGAATGGAAGGAGGGTTAAGTGGGATGGGGGGTTGGGGGTGTGAGGTAGAAGAATGATGGGTTGTTTTATTATTATTTTTAAGGTAAATATCAGTTTACTACCCTCAAGTTTCGTGGTTTTCAACATTTAATACATGAAGTTTTTTTCGTCCTAGAGTTATACATAAAGTGTTCATTTTGGAACATTCTCATACATCCGTTAGTCTAGCTGTTAAGTCTTCCGTTAACTAATGACGTGGTGCTCATGTGGACAATGACTGGGCACCACGTGTCATTAAGGGGTACACGTGGAAATTAAAATTAAAAAAATATATATTTAAAGGAAAAAAAATTTCCCAAATCCCCACCTGTGCCCATTCACCCGTCTTCCACCTCTCTTCCTTCTTCCCTCTGCAACACCTTTTTTGACTCCCTTTTTTCTCTCCCCCATTTTTATCCCCCCTTCTCCATAACCACCACATCCTCCATCATTCATTTCCTAACCCCCACCATCATCTTCCTCCACCTTATCTTGCACCTTAACCGAAACCCAGATCGAAACCCCCACCCTCATCCTCCTTATCCTATACCCTAGCAACAACACCACCATCAGCCGCCGCTCGGTACTTTATTCCTCAGTCCATGGCCCAACAACACTGACCACACTCTCACTCACTCCGAGCTCTGCACACCACCGGTTCTTCACCTACTTTTCTCGACAAACTCGTCGAATGACTCGACTTTACTGTCGTCTTGATCTACTCACTGGCTGGTTCACCCAGTTTATCCAGCTTCGAGACACTATCCGTATTGGCATCTTTGGTTATATGTTCCTCGGGTTTCAGATCTATCATCTTTGATTCGTCAAACGACCGGCCGTCATGCAACTGCACTAGGGTGTTGTAGGTCCAAAAGACAGGTATTTTGGGAGAGGTTGAAGACGGGTATTTGGGAAGAGGTTGAAGACGGGTATTTGTCGACCACGCGTTGCGATTACGAGGATCGACTGCACCTCTTCTGAGCCAATGGTGATGGTGATGTTGCTGAGGTGCAGGATAAGAAGGAGAAGGGTGAGGGTTTCAGTCTGGGTTTGGGTTGGGCTGCAAGATAATGAGGAGGAAGAGGAGGGTGGGGGTTAGGATGGATGTGTAGAGGTTAAGGTCGATTTTTCAAGATTTACCGTCAAATCTGCAGGGAGAGTGAGAGAGAGTGATGAACAGTGGGGGAATATGGGGAGTGGGGGAATATGGTGGTTACGTACAGAGAAACGGGGCCGTCAAAGAAGATGAGGGTTGAGTGGGTGGAGTCGAAGAATGAGGGGGAAGGATGGATGTGCAGAGGTTAGGTATGTGCAGGGAATAGATAGGAGAGAGAAAGGATGGGGGTCGGGGTGAGGAAGACGATAGGGTTCTGGGTTTTTTTTATACTTTTATTTAATTAATTATTTTAATATTTTTTAATGACACGTGGCGCTTAGTCATTGTCCACATAGACGTCACGTCATTAATTAACGGAAGAATTAACAGCCATACTAATGGATGTATGAGACTGTCCCAAAATTAACAATTTAGGTATGACTCTAGGACGAAAAAAAACTTCATGTACTAAATGTTGAAAACTACGAAACTTAAGGGTAGTAAACTGATATTTACCATTTTTTTTAAGTTTGTATTATTTTTTTATTATTTTTTTAATATCCACGTGGCCCCATATTGACATGTGGCGCCCAATTATTGTCGATGTGGGCGTCACGTCACCAGTTAACGGCTGATTTAACAACAACCTTAACGGATGTATGAAACTGTCCCAAAATTATGACTTTATGTACCACTCTGGGATGAAAAAAACTTGATGTATCAAATATTGAAAACCAATAAACTTCAGGGTAGTAAACAGAGACTAACCCTATTTTTTAATAAAGAAAATTTAAAATAGTAATAATTAGCAACCTACAAGATGGATTTGAAATTCATTTAAATCATGTAATTTTATGATTTTATCTCTATTTTGCTTTCGATAGTTGATCATTGTTCTGCCGACCATCTCCAATGGTGGCTTATAACCTAAATTTTCCCCTTTTTTTCCCCCCTAAATCCACTCCAACCCAAAACCTAAACCAAACCTAAAACCTAAAACTTAAAATGAAGGCAAATATAGGTCACAAATTTAGCCCACAAAAGCTGCTGGAACCCACGGATGAGAGTGAAAAGTGGGCCTTGTCTTGTAGCCAACGGCTACTTTTCTTCATCGGGTGGTGGTGGTAATTGGACCGTTGGTTAATCCAACGGTCCACATTCAATTTTTGTTTTGTTTTATATTTATATATTTATTGAATTCAACGGCTTAGATCGAATATAATCAAATCTAACGGTAAAAAAAAAGATCTAACGGTCCAAATTTAAATCAAATTGCTAGAATAATCTTAAAATTTATTGGAATTTAAATATTTTTTTCCAACGGCTAGAATAATTTTGTTTTTTTAAGTTTATGTGGTTTATCATGATTTTCATGTATTGATTTAGTGATTTTTCAAAATTTATCAGAATTTAAATATTTTTAGGTTAAAATGTTCATAAAATTAATTTAGGATAGTCTACATAATTTTTTTTTAAAGTTAATTTTAAAAAAATAGCCTTAATTCATTTTTTGATAATCTGGGGCTAAAATTTTAGGCCAAAATGGTTGGAGTAGAAAAGCTGTTTCTGAGCTAAAACCTAAATTTTCTGGGCTAAATATTTTTAGGTTTTAGGTCAGGATTGGAGATGGTCTAAGCGAGGGCATTACAAGGATATTAAAACTTTCACTTTTTTGCCATCTAATACTACGATCTAGTGTTATTCCAATTGTAAGTGAGAGGTCTTAGGTTCGATTCTCACCAAATGCGAATTTAAATCACAATATTGCTAGTCATTGTGAGGCTAAGCCCACTCCTCCCCTTAGTGTAGATAATATTGTTGTAAAAATAAAAAAAAGGTTCACTCTTTTTGACTTATCACTATATATATACATATATATTGATATGGGGAGCATACCAAAATGGTGAACATATCTCTAAAACACCTTCTCTTGATAGAGAAGAACAACGAACTGTTGGAAGTTTTGAGACTCTTGTCCCACATTGGGGAAAACAAGATTCACAAGGGCCTTTATATAGATTTAGTGCTTTAGTCTAGTAATTAGAATATGGGCCATTTGGAAATGGATTGAAGGCTTGGGCCTTATGGTTGTGTGGATTAGGCTTGTATAATATAGCCTAAATACAATTAATATTAATTAATCAAGACAAGGGCCTTGGGGCCTTGGAATTTAAAATTAATCTGATTCATTAATTTTAATTTTCGTATTAAGTTTTTAATTAATTTATTATTAATTAAAAACGTTTTGATTAAAAGACACAACTTTTAGAAAGAGTTGTGAACCTTCAAATACACTAAACTGGTATTTGAAAGGGTGTGAAATAGCCTATATATATGCAATCCATGGTATCCAAATCATTATCTTTTTTTCTTCCTTTTCTTCCGTACAAATTTCTAGAGAGAGAGTAAACACACAAAGCAATTCGCTAGAATTCTATAATCCAGTGCGGGTTGTAGGATTAGGTAGTTGTATCCTGGTCGAGCAGACGTTGTAGAACCACAAGCACAAGAGTGGGACGGAATTACTGTTCGAAGGACATAGCTTTTACGCTAGCCTCTACCTTCTGTAAGCAAGTTAGTACTATTGGTATTCTCACATTTAATTTTCTGTAGTCATTGTGTATCATTCTGTATTGCAAGTATTTTTGAGTAATAAAGTATAAATATTTCAAGTTCTGTATTTATGTTATTTCTGTTTCTAAATTGTTCTCCAACACGAACAACTACCAAAACAAGATAAGGACAAAAAT